GGTAATCTAAATTACCTCTTTAACAGTCCCGTGTTTCTATTCAAATGCCTCGGCTCGGTTTTAGACTCTTCTAATGATGAGTCTCTAACTCAGAAACAGATTGTTGGTTGTGCATGGCTGAGAAATTGTCCCGAGTTACCTAAACAAATGCCTCGTCTCAGTTTTAGACTCTTCTAACGATGAGTCTTTAACTCAGAACAGATTGTTGGTGGTGCATAAATGAGAAACTATGTCTCTTGTTGCCTTTTCAAATGCCTCGGCTCAGTTTTAGACTCTTCTCATGATGAGTTTTTGTTTATGAAATGAGGTAATCTAAATTACCTCTTTAACAGTCCCGTGTTGCCTATTCAAATGCCTCGGCTCGGTTTGAGACTCTTCTAACGATGAGTCTCTAACTCAGAAACAGATATTTGGTGCTGCATGGCTAAGAAATTATGTCCCGTGTTACTTATACAAATGCCTCGGCTCGGTTTTAGACTCTTCTAGCGAGGAGTCTCTAACTCAGAAACAGACTGTTGGTGGTAGATGAATGAGAAACTATGGCCCATTTCAAATGCCTCGGCTCAGTTTAGACTCTTCTCATGATGAGTTTCTGGGTATGAAATGAGGTAATCTAAATTACCTCTTTAACAGTCCCTTGTTGCCTATCTAAATGCCTCGGCTCGGTTTTAGACTCTTCTAACGATGAGTCTCTAACTCAGAAACAGATTGTTGGTGGTGCATGAATGAGAAACTACGTCCCATGTTGCCTTTTCAAATGCCTCGGCTCAGTTTTAGACTCTTCTCATGATGAGTTTTGGATATTGAATGAGGTAATCTGAATTACCTCTTTAACAGTCCCATGTTGCCTCTTCAAATGCCTCGGCTCAGTTTTAGACTCTTCTAACGATGAGTCTCTAACTCAGAAATAGATTGTTGGTGGTGCATAAATGAGAAACTATGTCTCTTGTTGCCTTTTCAAATGCCTCGGCTCAGTTTTAGACTCTTCTCATGATGAGTTTTTGGATACAAAATGAGGTAATCTAAATTACCTCTTTAACAGTCCCATGTTGCCTATTCAAATGCCTCGGCTCGGTTTTAGACTCTTCTAACGATGAGTCTCTAACTCAGAATCAGATTGGTTGTGATGCATGGCTAAGAAATTATGTCCCGTGTTATTTATACAAATGCCTCGTCGCAGTTTTAGACTCTTCTAACGATGAGTCTTTAACGAAGAAATAGATTGTTGGTGGTGCATAAATGAGAAACTACGTCCCGTGTTGCCTTTTCAAATGCCTTGGCTCAGTTTAAGATTCTTCTCACGATAAATTTTGTTTCTAATAATTGTTATTTTAAATTTGCAGGGTGGAAGATATTGATCCGGATTTTTCCATCAGATTGGTTGGTTGAGCTGGACTTGGTCGATTAGGTGCTCCATGGTAATGTGTTGTTCTTTTAATATCTGTTTGTTATTTAGTGTATTCAGTTGATTATCTTATTCCTTCTGCTCATGAGTTATAGATTCATATTTATGTTCATTAAACAGGTAAAGCTTGATGAAACTAGAAGATTAAATGTGACTTATGTAATGGATCTTGGAGCAAGAAAAAGATCTGCTCGTTTATATGCACTTATGAGAAAAACACAAGTACGAATTCTTCTACGATCTCTTAATTTCCCTTTTTTCTCAGATGTGTTTGGGATCAAAGATAGTCATGGGATGATTAAAATTGGTTTTTATGTTTTGTGTATTTTTTATTCTATTCCCTGAGATTTTCTCTGAGAATTCGTCTCTTTGGTGCTTATCTATTATCATTCAGAGATCTCACAGACTCTTATTTCAGCTCTTGCTATGATAGAAAAATATGAAGAGAAGATACTAGACGCCACTTTTGTTTCAGCTCTTGCTATGATACTCAAGGTCTAGTTTTGCAGAACTTAACTAGCCTGCATCTATTTTATATCGATCTTGTTTATTTGATTTACGTTATCAAGAATGTGATTTTGTGCAGTCTCTGTGGAAGATTAGTGTTTTCTTAAGCCATTTTTTGATGGACTATGTTCAAGGAGTACCTCACAGCCTCACAAATGATGAATCTCTTCTTCCACAAGACATACTTTGTGAGTTCCTACGGAGTGAGAAAATCAGTCTCACTCATCCTCTGGTCTCTGCTCTCATCTTTTAAAACCTTTTGTGTTTTATGAGTGTTGTTAATTACTTCTTTCTTACGCTTCAATTGTATATGTTGTCTATTAGTACTTTTCAGGAAGCAAATGGTGTTTTAGACCTGTTTCTAAACATCTTAAAGCTTCTGCGTTCTTTCGATCTGATGTTCACTCAGAAAAGTCAAGGCAAGTCACTTTTTTATCCCTCATACATTAAGCAAAACTATAAATACAGTCTCATGAAAAGTGTAGTTATCTCAGTTTGAGTTTGAGAATATCTTTTAAGATGAACTTAAAGAAACTTGTGATAAGGAAGGATGTGAGAAACAAAGCTACGTTCAACTTAGGATAAACAAAATTTCATCATCACTTTTCACTTTTCACGTGATGATAAGCTATGAAGTTAAATTGGTTAGTAGAGATCAACAACAAAATGTAGTAGTCTTTTTTTGTTTCTCCTATTGTATAGCACTTGATTGGACAAAGAACGAGACTGAAGGAGAAATGTTAGATACAACTTCTGTTCTGGCGACAGAGATAGATATTAGTCTGATATATACCAAAACAAAGGTAACAATTCATTCACCACGTACACTCTTGTCTCAATGGGTAAGAGGTCAAGTATCAAAAAATTTGCTTCTTTGAAGTTTACTTTTGAAGATTAATGTTGTTACCAGAAACAACTCCACTTTTTAATATTTCAGGTTTGCTCACAAGGAGGTCGGTTAACCGTTCGGTTATGCTCGGTTTCGGTTAGTTCGGTTCGAACGGTTAAACCGTTCGGTTACTTTAGCCATTTAGCTTCGGATTGGTTTGGATATTTGAATAAATAACCGTAACTAACCAAAATTCTATCGAGTTTGGTTTTTTATCCAAAATAAACCGAATATATAAACGAATTTAACCGAAAAATACAAAAAATAATAATAAAAGATAAAATGGAAAATTAGAAGAAAAAAAAAAGAAAAAAAGATTGCTTAGCATTGTTATGATAACTCATACGTATAATAACAACTCAATTACTTAGCACTGTTATGATCATTGAGTGTATAAAGAGTACTTAGATACCATAAATTCAACACTCGTATATAGGTTAGATAGATAAACACAGCTGGAAAAAAAGGGATGGGTCAGACATGTTGTTTCTGAGGAAGAGGTAAAACTTTAGACTTGTTTGGTAAAAGACAAGCAAGTTACTTGATCTGTGACTGAGTGATGTATCTTGGTTTTCCAGGTAATTGGAGACTGGGATGGTGTTCTCAGCAAATTCCGGAATCTGCATATTCGACCTGAGATTCAATTTTTTGAAAATGTAAGGTCCTTTTGAGTGAATACTTGCTTATGCTGTTCTTTTATGATGTGTGTGTTTTCAGTTCGACCTACTTGGATTGCAGGCTATGCAGAGGGACCAGTTGGTATCAAAAGTATCTGAAGACTAAGTAAAGCTTTTTCAATGTTACAGGAAATGGATATTGATGTATATACAACAAGTGTTTAGAATACAACATCCTGATTGTTATGATCATTGGATAAAGATAGTTAAATACCATTCTTCCAAAGTCATCACTTTTGTTACACAAACTCAGTTTGCATTTCTTCTGATGTACTGTTTGGTCGGTGCTGTAAACACTTTTGTGTTTTTCAGTTCCTGTAAAAGGAAGCTTTCTTAAAACATTTGTTAGGTTGATGATGTTCTCTTAGTTTCTTTGGTGGGTATTTTGTATTCTTGTAGTTTAAAGGTACAATAATGCTTCATGAAATCACCAAGTAAATAAAACATCAATACCTTGTACAGAAGCATCGTCACAAACACCTTGCGGTGAGACTTGTGAGAGACAATTTGGTAATGAAAATAATTAGTTCTATCTATTGTTTAGAGATCTCTCACTGACACAAGACAATGCAGGGGAATCTGTAGGGAAATTAAACGATAAAAAAACATATACTAATTAACATTTCTGATTTAAATCTATAAAAAAAAAGATTTTGTTATTTTCATATCTACGATCTCAAAACAAAAATATAATTCCAATTTTACTCATACCATCTGAATTAACGTTTAAATGATATGGGGGTAATTTTTAAATGATGTTGCGATAACTTTTATTTTTATTTGTTAATAATTATATTTTAACTAAAAAATATTTTTTTTGATATTTTTGTTTTACTATTATTATTTTATTTATAAATAAAAAATAAATAGAAAATAAAAGAAAATCTAATTATAAATTAAAGAAAATAATTAGAAAGAAATTTTATAAATAAATTTTAGTTTCACTTAAAAATTAATAAATTACAAAGTTTTTAGGTCATTTTAAATCAGTTTTGCTTACAAGTTTTTCCAGTAACACTTGAGTAAACTTTGTATTTTTATATTTTTTTGTAATATTTTTTATTTTTATTTGATAAATAAATAATAATAGTAAAAAATATATCAAATAAATTTTATTTTTGGGTTAAAATTAGTTTTTATCAAACAAAATTAGAAATGATTGCCACATGATTTAAACATCAATAATTAATTCAAATGATAAAGATAAAATCGAAATTTTATTTTTGTTTGAGAGCATAAATATGAAAATAACAACCGTTAATTAGTTCAGGTATTTTTCTTTCAAAAAAATATACTCAGATTTAAACATCCAAAAAAAATTAGAGAATTTGTTAGAAATACCCCTTTTGGGATGCTCCTTTTTAAAAATACCCTCCTTTCTTGTTATTTTTAATTTTACCCTTCTTAAAATTTTAATGACAACTTTACCCTCTTTAATATTAACTCTACCTTTTAACATACCTAAACGCACACCTTCTTCCTTCTCTCTCTTCCTCTCTTCGCCGTCTGTCGATCTCGCCGTGCATCATTCTCGGTGTTCATCGACCTTCTTTTCTAGCATCATCTCATCTTCTCTGATTTCTCCTTAGTCGTTGTCTCACCTCGTCTCTTGTTCTCTGTCGTTCTTTCTTCTCAGTTCCATCTTCTACTTAGTCATACCTTCCTTTTGTTGCTAACATATAGAGTTGTCGTCATAGGTGAGCTTTGATCTTTTCTTCTTCTTTGCTTTTCTGATTTTGTCTTAGGTTTGATAATGATACATTTAAGGTACACGTTTCTGTGATTTCTACAGAAAATAGAAAGATTCATTGAGCGCACATAAGGTGTTTGGTAAAATGCCAAACAAATAAGCTTATTTTTTTAATGCAAATTGCTGTTGGCTAATGGATGAGAAGCATATATTAAGTATGATTTTTAATAGTTGTGGAAAGAGAATTCTATATGATATGGATTTTTGATGAATTGGTTGCTAATTATGTGTTGATGTCTGCAATTTTTGTATTTAGATGATTAGAAGATGGTATTGTAATGAGAATTGTTGCATATGAATATGAAATAGATGGTGAAGATGTTTGTTCTGTTGTGTGTGTAGGAAGAGTGAATTTGATAGGAGAGCCCATCACCAATGAAAGATACTTAGTGTTGTAGAGAAACTTGATAACTATAGGTTTGGTGTTGTTATGTTGGTTTTGTTGTCTAGAAGAGCTGATGTGTTAAATGGACTAGATGAGACTCATATATCATGTATTTGAGGTAATGGACTAGATGACCA